AAAAGACACTAGCGGTCTGCACCTCTACCGTGTACGCCCTAGTCACTCTTTCAGTGGTAGCGGAGCAGTGATCCTGGAAGACCCAGGTGAGCTCCTTTCCTAGGCATAGAATTGCTTGTGGGCAAACGGCCATGGATTGGATTGACGACTGGGAAGAGCCTGATGCGGATGTGGCTTATGAGCCAGCAGCCTACGTGAATAGGCATGTGAGAAGAGAACCAGCAGCAATAGCAATGACAACACAGGTCACTACAAAGGTGCCCCCATCTTATGATGGAAAGACTTCATGGTTTTCCTATGAGGATGCCATAGACGATTGGTGTGATATCACCGAGCTGGAAGATGAGAAGAGAGGACCAGCTTTGAGAAACAGATTAGAAGGAGAAGCAGCAGTATACAAACGTGTATTAGACAGAGATTCATTGAAGGCTAATGAGCCACCAGGAGCAGGAGTAGATTACTTCAAAAGAGTACTACGACCATATTTCGTGAAAGGATCAACCAATGTATTCCTATACAGGTTTATGCAATTCGTGCGATTCAATCGAGGATCAGCCGACATGATGAAATGGATGACAAGATTCCAGATTTTACTCCAAAGGCTTATGAGCAGTTGGATGGACATGTTAGAACCAGTCACTCAAGCGCATCCCCAAGTCCTTGCTCAGATGCAGGCAGATGCAGCGTTGACTGGAGTAGCACCAACGGCAGAAAGGATTCAGGAAATCATGCAGAATGTCAATGGCAATATGAGAATTCTTCATCAGAATGATTTTCCTTTAGGAGAGAATCTCATTGCCCTACTCATGCTGTCCCTCGCAGATTTGTCTCAGGACCAGCGAAACACTTTGACTTCGTTGATGACTCATCGTGGCAGGTACCTGCAGCAATACACCACAACAGAGTTGAGGACAGTGTTCATCGAGATGTTCTGCACGACAAAGACTTCAGTAGACAATCCATTGATGCAGCCTACAGGTGCTGGAGGTAGAAGATCATTTCTCGTACTAGACGAAGGAGAACTCGATGGTACATTTGGCTATTGGGCCGAAGATGAAGAAGATGGAACAGAAGGATTTTTAGATGCCCTGGACGATGTCTTTTGGGTATATGATGATCAAAACTTCTCATGGTTCCAAAGGAGATTTCAAGGAAGAAGAGCCAGAAAAGGCAAAGGAAAAGGAAGAAGAAAAGGAAAAGGAAAAGGAAGATCAGGCCGCAGATTCTTCAGACCTCGTGGAAAAGGAAAAGGAAAGAGACGAGGTAAGGGCCATTTTGCTGATGAGCAACAGACAACTTTTCCAGATGAATACCTTGAAGAGAATCCTTATGAGGACACTTGGGAGTCAACCCAAGGAGCATATGATGCCATTCTTGCCGAGGATATGAATGACTATCTTCAAGGAGAATATGATGATGCCAATGACTTTTGGCAACAGCTTGAAGAAGCATGGTTTTCCCACAAAGGAAAAGGAAAAGGCAAGAGAAAAGGCAAGAAAGGAAAAGGAAAAGATAAAGGAGATGGCAAACAAGATGCAAACTATGCAAATCAACAACAGCCACGTTCTTTACCTGCACCTTCAAGAACTTCACAAGCATCAGGAGGTCAACAAGTTTTCTTAGCACATTGTGTGACAGCAGCAGCTGAAGTCCATGACAGTGAGGTGGACTTGCTGTCAGGCATGATGACCTCATGCCAAGATGAAGCTGACTGCGTGGTCAACAATGGTGAGACGATCTTCGATGACATGAGTGCCCCTGTGAGGTACTCTTTGTCAAAGGAGATGCTCACAAAGGCTCCTGATGGCTTTGCGCTTATGAGCGCTGATGGCTTTGCGCTTATGAGCGCTGAGGAAGAAGTGAAGGAGATGCAGGCCATTTCATTTTTGACTGAGAATCGCTTCCCGCCAACTATTGCAATCCTGGACATTGGATGCACTAGAGCTATGGGATCAAGGCGAGCAGTCGACCATTTTTGCA